TATATATATATATATATATATATGTATAGATTAAATTTTAAATAACAAATATCCTTAAACATATAAAAATTTCAAATTTTAATCATTCTTTGTGGTTTAAACCATTTTTGACTTTATCAGTTTAAAAATGTTCTTTAATTGGAAATCCTTTAATTACTTTAGATTTTATTCCATAAATACATTTTATTAACACGAAAAAAATAAATATAGAGTAACATTTATTTTGCGCATTGTTTTATACAACACAAGGAGGGGCTAATGTTGGTTTTTGGTAAAAACGTCAGTCTGATTTGTTCTTTTTTTATTACACGTATAAATTACGTGTGTTCGACTTTGATAGCTTGTCAAAATCGAGGTCCAGATGTCTGGAGTGATCTGGCTCACGTCGTAAAGGGTGTGAGTCATTAAGCTAGATTTAGAAACTATACGGTTGTAGAGAGGCATCACTTTGCTTGTGTGATGTGTATGTTTATTTCCTTGCTCGATTCCTAACGGATCACTACTATGTGCGAGTTTTCAGAGTGCGTCACAATAAATGAGCACTATAGTAAGTAACTAACCACATACTTCACTCGAATATTGCCATTTAATAAAGTAAATTTTATATAGGCTTAAAAAAAATGTGTGATAAAAATGATTGCATGTGTGATTAATGGTGTTAATACAATGGATTATAAAAAAAAATTATTTGGATGTATTGAAAATCGAGCATTGCTAATAATATACACAATTATAGGTGCTTCCGGGATACATTCCGAACTAGATCATTTGTATTTAATGTTGGACCATCAACTTCGTCCTATTTTACCCGACACCACGTGTCCTCAATCAATTGAGATATTTGAGGAACATAAACAAGTAAGTATTCATTTTTTATTGTTATTATAAATTATTTCTATTAATATAAATTCTAAATATTTTTTAGAAATCTTTCTTATATTATAATAAATATCAATCATAGGTAGAGTATAAAAAAAAAATTTGGACGTCCAAATTGAATTTTATTAATTTAATTTTATAATTAAAAATATGTTTATATTATAATACATAATTACCATGATTTTTTTTTTTTAAGGAACTTGGCTTCTAAGCTATACACAAACTTTTCGCGTGGTAGCTCTATTTAGGCATTTTATTCACTCAATATGAACTTAGCTTTAACTCAGTATTAATAATGCACCTAAAAAACTTGAAATATCAATATATTAATTATAAAAATAATGGAAAAAATTAATGTCATTCGTATGTAAAATAAAGAGATTTAAGAATTCCTTAAATTATACAATTGATGTTAGGTTATTAAATAAATAATTAATTGTTGTGATAATTGTTTTTAATAAAGCTCATAATAATTCTTATAAATAAAATTAATTTTTAATTTTAATACAAATTTTAATTAATTACTATACATAGTCAACATTTTAATATTTTTGCTACCTGAATTTTCCAAAATTTTATGTTTAACTAGTTGAGAAAAGTTAGCTTGAATGTTGGGTAATGGGCAAACTTCATTTTTAATAATTACTAATGTAGACTTAGCTTATGTTTGGGCCTCAGTATACAGAGTGTTCAGTAAGTAAGGAATCAGGTCAATTATTACCAACAATGAAAGTAATAGAAACTCGTTTTCTTACTTATTGAACATTCTATATAATTTCTACAACAGTATTTAGAAATTTATCGTGAGGAGCAATAGAGACGCTATCTCTAAGGATAATGGAGATATAGAGGTATTTAAGAGCCCATTGACTATAAGTCCCCAATATTGAAAAATATGTAAGATCCATAGCAATTGCAGAATAGTGTGATGTATCAGGCTAACATTGTTAATCATCTAATTAGATAGAAGTTGAATAAACATAAAATTGACCTACTTAAGACCTCTTATAAGATCATTATAGTTTTATCTGTATTTTTCAAAAGTATTACGTATTATAACCTATCCTATCTCCTTTACAAATTTTTCATGTGTTCAATAATTTTCTATTCTAAATAGTAATATATAATAAAATATTATAAAAAAAATTAATTTGTTTTATAAATATGACTTAACTAATGATTCACCTTAAATAATTCCTCATATAGCTTGCCGAAGAATACCTTAAAGTACAAACAGAAATAGCATATTTATCTAAACACATGGAACAATTAGCAGAGAGACTAAGTCAAGAAGAAGTAACTATTACTGATGAAGTAACAGAAGATGATGATATTGAAATAAAAAAATTGGAAAATGAAAAGGTTCAAACCTTATGTTAATTTTAATTAAATTATTTAATTTTCTCTTGCATAATTATACTATCAAGTACGGGGCTTAAACTGACCAAAAATACAAATAAGACTATTACCCTTATACTATATTGAGCGTTTTACCAAATCCTATAATTATATAATTTGAATAAATCTTAAAGGAAGCGCTTGCTAACAATTATTAAAGGCAGGGTTGCATCACCTTACTCTAAGCCTGATTGGATATGGGATAAAGAAATTAATAAAACTATTGACAAGTATTTTGTTATATTTTAGTTGGCCTACCACAATTATTGTTAGCTGGCTATTGGCCTCTCAGTCTAGCTATATCTATCACCATCATCAAATTCAATTTTTTGTGATTTTAAAGTTCTGGAAATAGAGACTTTACTTACTTAATAACTTACTGTCAATATGTTTCTGTTAGATATTAAGTTTTATAGATTACTCAAAATACTGAAAATGATTCAAAAAAGATAAAATTAATATTTTCCTTAAATTTGGTAATTTGATAAGACACAAAACTACTATAGACACCTCTTATAATAGGCTTCATGTACAACAAAAAAATCAAGTGAAAAGTAACTCTCTTTTTTTATAAAAATATAGAGTTAAAGAAAACATCTACAATTACAAAGGTTGGGTTATTTACTATTGATTTATCACTATTCACATTAAAAAAAAATCACAATTATTAAATCATGAAAACTAAATTATGATATAAAATATTTTACCTCTGGGTTATTAAATTGCTTTAATCAAATGTATATTACTTACTGAATATTCTATAATTTAAGTACTATGTTTTTGTATTGTTTTAGAAACACCTAACACAAATGCGTTTAAATTTAAAAAAACAACTAGAAATGATAAATAAAGAAGATATAAAGCAGCTAAATGAAGATAAAAAATGTCCAAAATCCTAGTTCGATAATTTATTATTCTAGTAGATCTTAGTGGATATTAATTTTTTTTTTAAGGTATGTGATTATGTATCAATTAATCACATTAATTTTTATGATATAATTGAAATTTTTTGTAATTAGTACAAATTTTCATTATATTTTATATAAGACAATAATATTTAGCAATAATTTTGTTTAATGTTAATTTTTATTTTTAAAGGTCTCAAAGTGATTTTATTATTAAGTATAAGTAATTTTTTATTCAACGATTTGTAATGATATTTGTTTATAATTTTACTAATTATTGGCTAATGTAATGTTCTAGTCAATTTTTTCTAATATTACAATTGTGTCTTCATGCTGGTTTTAGCTGTTAGTATTTTTTAATAAGTTATTAACTCCATGTAACTTTAGCAATTGAGTAATTAAAATATTCAAGTTTTGATATTTCTAGGAATTTACTATAAAAATAATGAGCAAAGATATAATTTCTAGTTCACAGGCCAATGTGTGCAAAGTCTCCATATTTTAAAAGTCTCTATCACTATTACAACACTGGCATAATTATACTTACAAACAAATTTTATTATTTTCTGGTTAACCCATATGGAATAGATATTAGTTAATTTCCTGGCTCTGCCTCTGTGGGGAAGGTACTAGTGTATGTGCAATTGTATGTGCTACAAACCCAAAATAGACATTTCAATGTTGACTAGGGCAGTGATAAATATCACTAAAAAAACACTTTGTTGTAAATCTGTTAAATTTTAATATATATTAAATGCTTGTTAAATTATTTTATACTTAGACTGCCGTTTTTTTATAGTATAACAACCGTGAAATAGATGTTTTTTTATGTGAAAACAACTTATGCAGTGTCTATATATTTCTGTTAGGAAGTGAACATTTTTGAGTGTTACTTTTTTTTGCATAACGCTATAACCCAAACCACCAGATATATGCCGGGCATGATAAGTTTTTTAGGTTGACTTAAAAAAAAAAGTTCTAAGTGAAAAAACTACATTTGACCAGTAAGTTAGTTGATTATTAAGTAATAGTTTATATGTATAATAATAAACTTGATTAAATATATAAAAAAATTTTGTATTATAAACATATTTAAAAGCATAAAAGTATCTGTATACTTAATAAATCAAACATAAAATATAAAAATAACCAACATAATATCAAAACAAAAAGATAGTTAATAATCAAATGAATTCATATATGACGACTATAACATGTATTAAATAAGAATTAAAGAGAATAAATGACATAAAATTTCATTACCCACAATTCAGTCAAAATATATACAGAATGTTCAGTAAGTAAGGAAACGGGTTTCTATTGTTATCGTTTATAACAATTGACCTATTCCCTTACTTACTGAACACTGAATATGCTCAAAAATAAAACAATACCCTTATTCAAACCGTGAATTTAAAAAAAAACTGCAATAATGAATGGATAGAATTAATTTTTTTATATCAGAAATGTTTTTGGGTGGGTCTGTTGAAAATTTCAAACCTTAAGTCGTAAAACGCTGGGGTTAGCGAACATATTTCTCGAAAACTGTCGAAGTTTTCTTCGTGACAGACTTTTAATTAAAAAAAAAAAATTGAAAGTCTGAGCATGCTAAGTAATTTTCCCGGAAAAGTGTTTTTATCTTTGCTCTATTATATAATATCTTATTATAAATTATTACAAGTAAAACTCGATATACATCATTTAGAAATCTTATCTTTAATAATTCATGATTATTAATAGCCTCTTATTATCAACGCTAGTTTACTAACATACCTTGTTGAATAATCGCTATGGACATTTTTTCTTGATATGTACTATAAAAATAATTTATGGTCAAACTTATTGGAACAGACTATTGTTGCTTTCGGTATTATGAAAATCAAATAAACGATGTATTTACATTTTAAATCCAAATCTTCAACACAATTTTAGAACGCAAATAGTTGATCGGAAAAAAAAATTATAAGAACAAATTTTTTTCTACAATATACTAAAAATAGTTCCCATTAATGAAAATTAAAGTTTAGTTTATAAACCTTGAGAGTATGAAAAAAATTAAACTACATATTACTGTAGTTTTTTTAATTAAACAATATTTTCCTTTATATAAATTAAAAATGTTCAATAGTTCTAAATGTTCTAAGTAAATGAGTGTCTTACCCTGAATAAATCACTGTATGTTTTCACATATTTTGAAAATCGCTTGCGACACTCAATTTGGTTTTAATATTTAGTACACTTTAAACGATTTAATTTTATATAGGTTAAAGAACGCAGACGTTCCATAATATCAAAAATTCATTTGAAATGTACAGACGTGGGTGGCTTTTTTGAAACCTTCCTGTACTTTTTTCGTTGGATTTTTATGAATTGCGTACTAAAATAAAACTTATTGTCTCGACTATATTCCATTAAAATTAAGATCACAACTAAAAAAAGTTGAGTTTGAAATGCTGAAAAAAAATATTGAAAATATCATTTTTTATGGTGGCATATGTTAAGATATTTTCTAAATGTTTAAAACCTTCTAATTTTCGAAAATTATATGTCAAATTTAGATTCTTTTAACATATATATCAACAAAATAGGCTCTGTGATAGTTAATAATTATCATGAACAGCACCAAAAAAAACCACATTAAGGTGTCAATAACTTCACATCAGCTTCGCAATGTATTAATTTTTTTTTTTTTTTCATAATAAAAACTATTCATAAAGAAATATGTTTTTACAGTAAATAACATCAAAATCATTAAGTTGATAATCAAATAATTTGTCAAATTTAAATTTAATCATTAAATCTATAAGAGATGTAAGAGTGATAACAAAGGCAATTGATATTTGTATTAGTGTGTGCGTAAATCATTCTGTAATTTTGCAGTCAACTCTTATCTTTCACATTTACGTCGCAAATACAATTTTTATTTCAAAGAAGTAAGTTACTCCGTATATCCTGTCGATTTACATCAATTTATTATCATTTATAAATAACCATATTAACAAACTACTTATCAAATTTTAATATGAATTGCAATCATTTTATCACATTATGGGTTTATTTATATTTGTAAAATTTTACTGGTGACTAATTTCATTTTATAATTCAAACAAAAAAACCTATGATTAATAAGTAGAATTTTTTTTTGCATTTGGTTTGAGAAACATCTATCGACAGGTATACTGGAGTCATCTTATGAAAATTAAAGATGCAAATTTGGTTATCATTTTAAGTTCTATAAGTTAATTTATTTAACTTTTATATCATGTGAAAATTAAAATCATTTTATTGTGGAACCTAATTACTAGTATATACCTAATTTTTTATAATTTTGACTCATCATTATTAATTCAAAAATGGAAGTCACTGAAACTGAAGCTTTAAAAAGCATTTTATAGTAAGTATAAATTCAAAAATATATTAAATTTTATTTATGTCTATTGTTTTTATTTGTAAACTTATAACAGCTGTTTTCAGTTTTCCTTACGATTTATATACTCTAAATATTTTAGACATAAGAAAATTATTAACACTTAAAATTTGTACTTATAATAAATTTGATGACTTTTCAAGCATTTTCGAAATGTCAATAAATTAGGGAAAACATTTTTATTCAGTCTTTTTTCAAGTTTTTAATGATTTGTTATAAGTGAAATATGTCACAATATTTTTTATACTATTGCACACTATTCCAAAAATTGGGGCAAAATAAATATTTGTTAAATTTGATGTAGTCTTCAGTGAGTAAGGAAATGGGTTTCTATTGTTCTCATTGTTTTAACAATTGACCAGCTTCTTTACTTTTGGAATACCTTGTATATTTTTTTTTTATAATTTATGACAGTTAAAAGGTAATTATTTACAAAATTATATAATTTTTGCATAGAGTTTTAAGTTATTATCTTTGCAAAGTACCCAAACATTTTTGTTCTTGTCCACATTTTATAATATGTCTTTTAATATTTTTTTAAAATGCTGTATATTAGTAAGATGACTAAAGTATTTTGATAAATTATACAATGAACGCATTGTAGAAATTTTAATTATAATAACTGTTTGGTGTAGTGAAATTTTATTCTAGGATGTTTTGTAGAATGCCTGAAATATATTGATTTTATTTTTATATTGAAATTGAAGAGTACTATATATGCTGTTAATATAATTATTATAGCAATAACAAAAATTTATCTTTTGACAAACAAAAATAGAATTATCAAAAATTAGTGTTCAATAAATTATTAAAAATTTAAATTATATTTATATACTTGTGTTATGAAATGTATACTTATGTAAGGTTTAGTATCATTTGTAATTTAAGTTACTTAATATTTTTATCATTATGATAATTTTTAACATTTAGGGAGAAGTAGTTTTACAAAATTTTTCAAGTATAATTAATATTTAATTGTGTAGCATTCATGTTAATTACTAATCAATTATTGGACTAATTAGTATGAATATTATAACTGAAACATAAATAACTTTTAGCTTACTTAATGAAACACACTCAAAGCCTGAAGATCTATACAACATAATGATTTCAAATAGAACCATGGCAAGTTTTCTTGATTCTGATGATGACTTGATGAACAATATGTATAATGCTTTATTTTTGTGCTTTGGCATAATTATAACAGGGTAATACAAACATATGCTCTTTGAAATTAGTTTTAATGGTTTTAATATATTTATTTTATTTCAGTTATTTTTCAGGTCGTCTTGGCCTGGTAAGTCATGCAGCTGCTATTGGTTTGAATCGTTTTGTTGGAACATTTGCTTTACCATCTTTAATTTTTGTTAATATGGCTGTGTTAGATTTATCATCTGTAAATTTAGTGTTTCTTTCATCACTACTAATCTCAAAAACATTTGTTTTTGTATCAGTTGCTGTAATAACAGTTTTAGTTACAAAACCACCAGATATGGCTAGAGCAGCTTTATTTGCTATATTTTGCACACAAAGTAACGATTTTGCAATTGGAGCTCCAATATGTAATCAATCCTAATCTTTTTAATTTTTTTTTCTCAAATACATTATATTATTATGTTATTTCAGTTGAGGCCCTCTATAAACATACACATAGTGAATTTGTTAACTACTTATATCTTGTTGCCCCTATTAATTTGATTATTCTCAATCCATTTGGTTTTGCCATGATGGAGTTGGGTCGAGAGTATAATCGTCATGAAACAACTAAACATTCAGCTGTGATGGGCAGAATTTCAAGAAACATTATTTGTAATCCAGTTGTATTTATGACAGCTCTTGGTGTAATAGCCAGTTTGGTGTATAATCATAATCCTCCAAAAATTATCACCACATTTTTGGGAGTAAGTTGTTTTAATATAAATTTTCATTTTTTTTTTTTTTTTTTTTATATATATTAATTGGTTAATATTATTTTTTATGTTTTAGACTTTTGGTAATGCATTTACTGCAACAGCTCTTTTTTTACTTGGTTTGAAAATGGTTGGAAATATTAATAAACTAAGAGGAGAAGCTTTAATATTGCCATTACTTTTAATCGCTGCTAAATTGTAATTAATTTTTTTTTTTTTTTTTGTATCATAAAGTAGTAAAAAATAAAAATAATAGTATAATTTTTTAATTTTTTAATTTTTAGATTAGTGCTACCTTTAGTCATTAGAGAAGTGACAAGTATATTATTGGGGAATTTTGGCTCTCTTAATCCTGATGACAAACTTTCCTTTACAATGTTCGGGTTTTTGTATGGAATGATACCATCTGCTCCAGCAGTTTTTGTTTATGCATCTTCCTATAATTTAGAAATGGACTTAGTAAGCTAATCGTATATTTTATTCATAGTTTAAATTTATTATAAAATAGTTTTATATTAAATTTAGTATATTTAAAAATTTTTTAGATCGCAAGTTCTATGGTGTTATGTGTATGTTTTTCTGCTCCAATAATGTTTTTAACTGCTAAAATTATTTCTGTCGCTAAATTAGATCCAACTAATAACATTACTGCTCTTAAAAATTATCAGTTTAATGTCAGTGTAGTAGCAATTCCAGCATCTGTAAGTTTTGAAACATTATGTTTGATTGAAGATTCATCATAATTTTAATTTTTTTTATTAGCTTTGGGTTATATTAGTGATGTTAAAAAAGTTAAAAAGTTTTCCATACAAAGTTGTTTTTTGCTTAGTAATATCTCAGGTTTGTATTTGATTATTCAAATTTAAAGTAATTGTCTGTTTTTTTAAACAACAAGTAATTCTCCTGTATATGTATATCTTGAAATTTTAGGTGATTTCTTGTACTGGAATATTATTAGAGTACTTATCTGAAACTCCTCAAAATCACCCTTTAACGTACATTCAACTTTTATTGAGCATTGCTGGTGATTTAAGTTGCTACATTTGGACAGCTTGTTTAGCTTTTACTTTGCTTATTATGGATAAACCCTTTACTGATTATTTTAAAAGAAGAATACTTTACTTTTACATGATTATTTCCTGGGGGTAGGTAATGATAGAGTTAATTTTTGTTGTGATATACTTTAATTAGTTTTGGTTCTGTTTTAGAATTCCTATATTATTAGTTAGTGTCTTAATGTTAACTTGTCAACCACCTAGTTTTATCAAAACGGATTTTGATCAGAATTACGTTTACGGTGTACCTGAAGCAGTAACATTAACAACAGTTCTTTTAATGTCCATTATTTGTATGCATTTTTGCAGTTAATTTTTTTGGTATTTTTTAATTGTTCTATTGTTAATATTTTAGGCGTAGTTGTTTGTTTAGTTTTACATCAACGACAAAAACATAAATTAGTAAAACAAGTTATTTATTCTAATTCAATAAATAGTGACGTCCAAAGTACTTCTAAAGAAACGTTAGTGTTTCATTAATATTAATATTTTCAAATGTTTAATTTATGTAAAAATATCTATTATAATTTAGATTAGAATCTCATCAAAACACAGAAGATTTTAAAGAAGGTCTTCTCTTTGAAAGACAAAATTCTTTCATAGAAAATGATGCTAATATTCAACACTTTATATTGCTTGTTGCTCAGGCAGTTACTATGTTTGTTGTAAGTTAAATTTGAGATCAATTACAGTAGAAGTCCGATAATCCAGCATCCAACAGTAGAACAGTAGAATAAAGTAGAACAAACTTTTTTGTATTTGCATACTGTATTTTTAGTTTAATTATTAACGTAATTGTTCTTATAGTAAAGCCTACACTAAAAAGAAAGGGCACCGCCCTATAGACCGGCACGGAGCCGTTCCTGAACGTGCCGGATTATCGGACTTCTACTGTATTTCAATTTATCATTCTTGAACCTGTATTTTAAACTAAAATTAATTAATTGATTTAAAATAAAATTTTGAAAATAATAAAAAATAAAAAAATAATTTATTTGTAAAATATAAATAATAGCTATGTCTTGAGTATATAATAACTATTAGTTATAACTAATATGATCATCAGTAGTTTAACATGTTTACATGTTTTTAATTTTTTTGTTACATAAATAAAATTAGTATAAAAATTTTTTTATTTGTTTCTTTTAGTTCAATGTTTTTCTCAATTTTTAAATCAAAGTTTTTTTCGTATTCATCACTTATACATTATAAAGGTGTCAACTTAAATTTATCAAAAGATAACACCCTTAGTTTACTATCTTATTTAATATCTAAAGATTTAATTAAGAAAATGATTGATTGATGACAGCTTTGGGCCCATTATTTTGAAAGTTATTAAAAATTTAAAGTAATGAGTGTAAATAAAGAGTAGGTGCTGTTAATTTTATAACTGCACATTTCTCGACCCTACTATTTCTCTCATCTTGATATATATATGTCAATAGCTTCCGAAATACTGGTCCAAAAGTTATTATTTTCTTAATTAATTAATGGTATTATAATTTGATAAATTAAAGTTGATACCATTATAAGGTTTAGTTTTAGTTATTATCGAGGTGGACATAATGCCCATGCACTCAGACCTTGTTGGTCCATTGTGCGCACTTCATACCGAATTGTCTTAAGGTTTAAGTAGTAAACATAAAAAAACTTTATGATTGAAAAATTAAAAGAAAAAAATAAAAAAAATTATTAATCTTCTTCTTCCTCGCCTTAATCCCAAATACTTGGGGTCGACCACCCTTATCCTAAACTTCCACTTGACACAATCTCCCATATCATCTACGCTCACATAAGCTATCCTCATATTGTATTCAATAGCATCTCTCCATTTTTTTTTTTGGTCTTCCTCTACCTCTTCTTCCTTCAACATTCATTTCTATAACTGATCTTACAGCTTCCGATTCTTCTCTCCTCATAACATGACCAAACCATCAAATTCTATTTTCTCTTCTTATCCACGATTGACGCTATATCTATACTCCCTCTTATATGCCCGTTCCTTATCCTATCTCCTCTAGTCACTCCACTTATCCATCTAAGCACTCTCATATCTGCTACACTCATTCTCTGCTCTACTTTCTTATCTACCGTCCAACACTCTGAAGCATACATCATGACTGATCTCACTACAGTCTTATAGAATTTAACTTTCAGTCTCATTGGAAGTCTTTTATCGCATAACACATCAGACGCTTCTCTCCACTTTAACCACCCGCACTCAATCATGTATCTTGCATCCTCGGCAATACCACTGTTCTTTTGTACAACTGATCCTAAATACTTAAAACTCTCCACCTCTCCTAACATGTCCTCGCTTATTGTAACTGATCTCCTCATTTCACCTACCTTGTGTTCTCCATTGTCAAACTAGTACTCTATATACTTTGTCTTACTTCTACTTATTCTTAAACCCTTTTCTTCAATAGCTGATCTCCACACCTTTGATTAATTTTCTCCTATTAACACTATATCTTCAACAAACAACATGCACCACAGCACCTCTCCTTGTATTTCTCTAGTAATTTCCTCTATCTTTATAGAAAATAAGTAAGGGCTTAAAGTAGAACCTTGGTGCACTCCTACTCTTACCCGAAAACCTTCTGATATTCCTCTTACGCTTTTTACCCAGGTACAAGTGCCATCATACATATCTTCTATTATGTTAATGTACCTTTTCGGGACTCCTTTTCTCATTAATGCTCACTTTAAAACCTCTCTCGGTACTCTGTCATATGCTTTCTCCAAATCTACAAATACCATACACAGCTTTTTCTTCTTTTCCCTAAACTTTTCTATTAGTTGCCTCTTACAAAATACTGGCTCCATTGATGACTTACCAGGCATAAATCCAAACTGGTTTTTAGATACCGATGTCTCATTTCTTACTCTTTTATCTATTATCTTTTCCCAAATTTTCGTATTATGACTCATAAGCTTTATGCCTCTATAATTTCCACACTCCTGTATGTCTTCTTTACGTTTAAATATCGGCACCACAATACTATTCCTCCATTTATTTGGTATTTTCCCTTCTAATAAGATTTTATTTAAAAATCTTCTTCAACCATCTTATGCCAACAACGCCTTATAAAAAAAAATGTTAATATTGTTTTTATTTTTTAAAAAATTAAGTGGATCATGATAAGTGAATTACTTTATATGTACATATTTTTAATTTTATAATTCATTTATAACCCAGCTCTAATCATCAGCAAAAAATATTTAAACATTTTGAAAATTTTAAATCAAATTTCTATAGATTAAATTTATTAGTTCACAAATAAAATTGTTTAAAAAATAAAAATGATTATAAATACAAAAAATGTACATAGAGTGTCTTAAATATTAAAATACAATATTATTTTTTTAATTCTATTTGAACATTTAGTATTATACAAATAATATAAGAATTGGCTTTTACTTCATTGTAACAAATTTATTGTTTTACAAAAAAACACAGTTAATATATAATAATTATAATTAAGATTTTCAAAAATTTTGTATATTTTATCTGATTATGATGTAAGTCAATACTATTGTTATTATATAGAGTGGCCCAGCATTCACTGATAACTTAAATAACTTTTGATCTAGTTAATATTTTTTATTGATTTTTTTTTTTTAAATAACAGTTATACGTTAGGTTTGTAATTATATCGCATAATTTATATTTTTAAATTTTAAATAAAATTAGAAAAAATAAAATCCAAGATAGCTTTTTGGTAAAGTATTTTTAGATTTTAATAAAAATGTTGGTAAAAAAAATATCATATTAATATTCAGCAGTAAATAATCTGTATCAATTTGAAGTTTATGAATATTTGATTTTTCATGTGTTATTTTGCGATATGAAACATTGAAATACGTGTTGAGACAAGGACAGAAGAAAAGTAAGATAAGTAGTTTTACCTCTAAAGAGGTAAATTATTAAATAAGTAATAGGTATTATTCGTGTTTTTATTTATACTATATCCAGTAATTGGTATGTAAATAATTTTCATATAAAAATCCATATTCATATCATATTTAGTGTGAAAAAATGGTGTTTACTTCTGTCCTTTTTTATATAACATAGCCAGCCTTTGATACCGTAAAATAAATACAAAAAAATTCAAATTTTTACAAAATTTAAAATGTTTCAGAAAATTAATTATCAAACATTAATGAGAATTTTTTTCACCAAATTATTTTTTTAATCTATTTTAAAAATGGCTATTTTGAAATTTTTTTAAATATTTTTTGTACATTTTTAAAATTAAATTTTTTAAATTATTATTATAGCCTTCATGTATATTAACTATTAACAAAAAAAATAGTTATTTAAGTTGTCAGTGAATGCTGGGCCATCCTACATACTCAAGACATAGCTGTTTTTCTTTTCTTACAAATTATATTATTTTAAATAAAATAAAGCGTAAAGTTTCATTTTAATACTTTATTAACTTGAATAAACATTCTTATTATAGAGAGAATAACTTGTGAGTAAAATACAATTAAATAGTCTATAAGTTTAATTTGTGTACTTAGACGTACATAATTAATTATTTTAAATGATTTATAAACATTAATATTACTTATTTCACTTATATTATTATTCAATTTTAGACTTTTTCTGTTGCTATATGGAGAATATTTGGTGATACAAACGGATTATATCTTGAATTAGCCTATAGTGAAATATCATTATTAAAAGGTCAATCAATATTCACATTATTGATATATGGATTTGATTATCAAATGATATGGAGGCCTGTTGCTAGAACGTAAGTCATCAATTTTTAATGTAAATTATGTATTTTGTTGCATTAAAATTCATTTTGTTTTAAAATTTTATTTAGGTGGAATAAATTCTGGTGGGGTGGAATTCCAATTGAGTTACCATTATGGGAAGAACTTCCTTATGATACAAGAAAAATTTGTGATAATTTTGTTTCCTTACATAGGGAAAAATGTTTAGCTGAAATTTCTCATCTCACTAGGTAAAATATTCTTAATATTTTGCCAAAATAAGACATTACGTTGTTTTTAAAAAAAAAATATTTAGTTTTAGTTGTTTAACTTTATTTATTAAAACCAACTAAGAAACAATTGGAGAGAATTATATGAGTCCATAACAGAAAGATTTAATACATTAAATGAATTTGTTACAGTATTATTATTCTTGGTACCATTTATTGGTATACATGTTAATAAAATATATAGTTCAGAATACTTAAGTTGCTAGTTTAATTTACTTCAAAATAGATATTATAAAAACGTGTGGTGTTTGTGTGTAGTAATGTATCTGAAATATACATATAGGTTTTTATTATCTTAATTTTCTTATTATTATGGACCAATAATAAATTTCTTTAGCTTTCTTATAATAAATTAGAATAAAAAAAAATATTATAAAGCTGTTATTTGATAATTAATGTTTTATATTATTAGATGGAAGCTATGGAAGTATAAAAAAACATTTACTGGAGCTGAGCTTATAACATGGTTAGTAGATAACAATATATGTCAAGATAGAGATGATGCATTAAATTATGCTATAAAACTTTGGAATGGTCAAGTTTTAAGACACTTGAATTGTTCAGAATGCTTTCAAGATACTAATAATATTTTATATACATTTAATCGTCGCTAATCTTTTAAAATATTACTAGATGCTTAACTTTTTCAATTTTATGTTAAAATACTACTCATGTTATGTTTAGTATTGTGATAATGATAATTGACCATTATGAGTGTGAAACTACGTAATTGTTAGTTTGAAATTTCCTATTTTTTTCAAACCAAAAGTTGTGATATATAGTTACTCTTTTATTTATATTACTGTATATAACCAAAAGTTGTTATATTTATTAGATATTAAATTATTTATATCAATTATAATGTTCTATATTATACAACAAAAGTTAGTTGTTATAAAATTCAATATTGAGTTATTCATTTAGTCATGCAACTAGTGGTGCAAATTGAATGAAATATTATTGTATAAATTAAAATTTATAAATTTGAAACTGTTATCAATTTTAAAGATTATAGTTATAGGGAGGAATTTTAAGATTTATTTAGAAATAGATGGGTTGATGAGGAGAATGAAAGAATGAATTAAAATGTATTTTAATATGTTTTTTTAAAACTTCTAGAAACATCTAGAAATGTATCAAGTATATTTTATTTAAATTGTTTCATAATTAAAATAATAATTTTATATCAAAAAATGCATTTTTCAAGAAATATTTTATTTTAAGAACTAACACAAAAAGTTATAAATATTTTTACCACGAAATTAAAATATCACTATGACATATTACTCAGCTAATACAAATCAACATACAACTTAAACTTGAAAATTTACTTAGATATAAAATTAGAAAATGGGTTATGCATTTATATTTAAAACTTCTTTCTCTTGTCTTTTTACTTCACAATACCTTAAATTAGTTAATGACATCTTTCAAATTTTAGGTATATTTTAATTAGTTTTTTTTAATTAATGAATGAATAATGAGTATTAATAAATTATAAAATCTAGTTAAAAAGAAAACTTTTGGCCAACCCAAAGTAATTGGGATAAAGGCGAGAAAAAATGAATACTTATATTTTAGAAAAAATAAAACCTCTAATTAATGGTAATTTAACTAATTAAAAATGAAGAATTATTTAATATATTAAGTTTAAGGTAAATGTATACAATAAATATACAAATTGGCTATAATTCTTTTTTAAATTAACACGTTAATTGACATTTCAAGAAAGAATATAAACAGGGAAATATAAATCCTTTATCGTTATAGTGAATAAGTTAAAAGTAGCATGTTAATATCGTAGGTGTATAAAATGGCGTAGCCACACTTTGTCAACGGAGAATTGTGTCGTAACACAGGAAAGAAAATTATATTAGGTAAATGTGGAAGTGTGCAAACTACGTGTAAGTGTGTGTACGAAGATGAATATGAGGAGGTGGTGCCTGCTGTCTAGGTATTCACGTGCGTGTTGTCATACAGCAGTCACCGTGCTCGGCTGACACTCCGGGTTAGCTGTGGGTGTCGAAAGGCTGTTGTTATAGGAAGGGAGAATAAGAGTAACACCTAGGTATGAGGTGCAGACGAAGTGCAAGACACAAGTACTCTGAAATGTCGAGGAAAAGAGTATATAGGTTAGAAAAGGAATAAACAAAGACTTTACTTTAAACAGTAAGCCGGACAGCGACAACCGAGTACTAAGACTGATGAATGACACAAGGCACTGGAGTCGACTGACCACGATGGTCAAGTCTATTGGGTTTTTATAATAATTACACCTATTGCCGATTTGGCAATAAATATTATTTGTTAATTCACCAGTCTCAGGAAGCGGATGTGCTGTCTGTATTTTATTAAAATAATTCTCACGATTATGAAAACGTGACACCATCACAATTGGTTAATATAAAAAAGAATGTTTACAAGAGAAATAATTATTTATACTTTTTTTTTTTTACTACTTTTAGCCTTGTATGTATAAATTTGCCTTTTTAGGGTTTTTTCTTTTTACATTATAACTAGGAATAGCTTGAGTGCCCTTCTTCAATTAAAATAAAATTTCAAATGTTTATATAGCTTACGAAATTTTACAACAATTTTTACTGAAATTTCATTTGAATTTTGAAAACTTTTTAATAGTTTATTATCTCATTTCTCATTAATAGTTTAAAACTATTATTATTTAATTTCAATCTTTTTTTTATTTTTTGTGTTTTTACACAACTTTTAGTATTTTTTAGTGAACTAGTTATTTGTAAGTATTAAAATGAACAATATTTTGGCGGGCTTAGTAGATAAAGATTGGGCGTATGTTATGGTTTCACTGTAAATCAGTTGGTACTATGTACAAGAAGAGAAAATGAAGAAAACAAAAATAATCATCGGAATAGTCCCCTCCTCCTAACAGCACAGTCGACGGGCCCGACCTGTCATTTCATTTGTATTGTGATTTCCGTTCGAGCCGCTGCAGTATACCGCTAGCGCGCTCCGTATATCTAATTTTTACATGTTACCCTGAAGTATAACATAGTCGGTTAATTTTCGTTCTACGACGTTTTCCGTTCGTATTATGGACGATAAAACGTCCTTAAAGGAACTTGATCAATGGATTGAGCAGCTGAATGAATGCAAACAGTTGACCGAGAGCCAAGTTAAGTTCCTGTGCGACAAGGTAAGTTAATGCGTAGACACGTAACGGTGGTGTAATGGGTTCGCGCGCGGTTCGGCCATATTGTTTACCGACTGACGCGAATGCCGTTTCGATCATCAATGTCAATGTTGTTATCGAATTGATATTTAAACCCAATCATGTCATTCTAATTTAGTTGTACCTACGTTATATGTTCTACGTTTTTACAACTTGTTACCACGTGACCCTTTCAGCCCTTTGCTTCGTAATTATTGGAAAGATATCCGCACCCGGCATCCAGTGTCTTAATTTCCTTAATCGTTCAGTCTTTTAAATAGGTTTCTAGTTATTCTATACAAAATACTAAAAAGAAAATTATGTTATAATTTCAAGATTGTGACTAAATTGACGTATTAAAATATCTTATAGAACGTCAACACTTAAACAACCATGATATTGTGATTGATAACGTGATACACACTTTTAAAGTTCTATTCTGCCTATTTTCAACATATTTAAATATTTTAAAACTTAATTCAATTATTTTTTATTACTTATAGGATTAATCATATTCTTAATATAATTAAACTGAATGTTTGCTTGTTCAAATAATGTATTAAAACAATTGTGTGATAGTTTGCTGTTTCAGTATATTGTAATTGCTATTTATGTTTTATGACTCATTTTATTCTGTATGACTTTCAAAATTATTATTTTTATTTTATTTTATTTTATTTTAATATTAATGATCATTTGTTGTAGTTCATATTTTGTGGAAGTATACCTAAAATTTAGTGTTTTTATTATTATAACTGAAACTCAATTTGAATATATCATTTTTTAATTTATATTTTCCTTTGTATCTACTTTAAATTAAATTTTAAAAGTATAATACAAAAATTACTGTTTACTTTTATATAATTGAATCTAAATTTCATTTTAGTTTTATATAATTTTAATATTAGTTATACTAATGGCTATTACAATTGGATTATTGTTTTACTTAGAGTAATTGATACATACAGTTTTATATTGAAATGGTAATCATTATGCTTTAATTGTTTTTATGGAGTAGACGTTTTCAAGATACAATAATGAATGAATTGTGATTTTTTATTTACTATTATTATTAAGGTTGTTTTACTAGAATTTTTAAACTATTAATGGCTAATTAGAAAGTTAAATTTAAAAGACTGTGCATTAACAACCTCATTCTATTTTTGAAAATATTTTATTTGTTTTTTAGTATAATTTGTATTTAAATTATTACTACCAAATTTCATATTGGAAAAAAAGAGATTAGAGAGTTTGAAACGATATCAACAATTGTAACCACTACAAAACTTTCACCCCTTATATAAGTAGACAGTAGTGAATTAAATAATTTGAATGCCATCCAAGTGCTATTATTATATATAGCTATTTTTAAGTTTTTGTTATTGTATATTTACCTGCAAAAATTAAAATTATATATTAATTCAAATATATTTTTATTTCTTTTTAGGCTAAAGAAATATTAACAAAAGAGTCAAATGTTCAAGAAGTAAAATGTCCTGTAACCGTATGTGGAGATGTACATGGACAATTCCACGATTTAATGGAACTATTTCGGATAGGCGGAAAATCTCCAGATACTAATTACTTATTTATGGGTGATTATGTTGATCGTGGATATTATTCTGTTGAAACTGTTACATTATTGGTTGCATTAAAGGTAGTAATTAATTTTTTGTATATTAAAATAATTATTATTTATACTTTTTATAAGGCATGAATTTTTATGTAGGTACGCTACCGAGAAAGAATAACAATTTTAAGAGGCAATCATGAGAGCCGACAGATCACTCAAGTGTATGGTTTCTATGATGAATGTTTGCGAAAATATGGCAATGCAAATGTTTGGAAGTTTTTCACTGACCTGTTTGACTATCTCCCATTGACTGCACTTGTTGACGAACAGATATTCTGTCTTCATGGTGGGTTATCGCCATCAATTGATACCTTAGATCATATAAGAGCATTAGATCGTATGCAAGAAGTCCCTCACGAGGTATATTATTTTAAATAATTATTTGTTTGTTGTCTCAATATTAATTTCACTTTATCTTTTCAGGGTCCTATGTGTGATCTCTTATGGTCAGATCCAGATGACCGGATAGGTTGGGGTATATCACCTAGAGGTGCTGGCTACACCTTTGGTCAAGATATTTCAGAAACATTCAATCATTCAAATGGTTTAACTCTAGTTTCCCGAGCTCATCAACTTGTTATGGAAGGTTATAACTGGTGTCATGATCGCAATGTAGTCACTATATTTTCAGCACCTAATTATTGTTATCGATGTGGTAACCAAGCTGCAATTATGGAACTAGATGATGGCTTAAAATACTCCTTGTAAGTTTATCATTTTTATAACTATGTAGTGAACTAAGTTGACAATTTGAAAATAGATATAATATGAATATATTTTAAAAAAAATTTAGTTTACAATTCGATCCTGCACCAAGACGCGGCGAACCACATGTCACACGTAGAACACCAGATTATTTCTTATAAGTTAATAACACCAACCATTTTGGGTTGTAACCCTTTTTTGGTATGAAATATAATAAATATTTATATAATTATACATAATATAAATATATTTATATATATATATATTATATACATATGTATGGCCAAGTCTTATCTAATTAATATAATTTTAATGATAATGAAAGAAAAACTAATCAAGAGCTAAAGTTTTCCACTGTATTCTTTTTTTTTTTTTTTTTTTACTGCTAGTATTTTTATTATTTTTATTTATACTTTCAAACAAATGGACAGGAATCATTAATAAATGTATAAAAAAAAAATCAAAAATTCATTTAAATATTATGGTTGTTTTTTATATGTTTTTGTTGCTATATTTCATATTATTGACATTATATAAAAGCTATAATCTCTACTTCTAACAAAATAATTTGCTAGAATTATTAAAATAAATTATATTTAACTCCATTCTAAAATAAAGTAATGTATAAAAAATGATATATACATATATTCAATTTTTAAATGTATTCTATTATTTTGTTCATACCAATTTTAGAATATAGTTAAAATAAATGAAATTAGGCCAATAATTCAAATTGATTAAATTTTGAACTCTGTAATTGTATTCTACTTTATTCATATATTAGAAATCATTTTGTAAAAAATAATTACTACTTTAATTATCAATACATTGTGTAAAATAGATTTTGAAAAAAAAATGTATTTGTGTATAGTAGGTAGTAAAAATATATTATTTTTATTATAATTTTGTCTATGTGAGCAATCTATTTGGATTTAATTTTGGTATTTATTTATTTATCAACAAATTTATTTTATTCTAATCAAACCATTTATATATTTCTATTAATTAAATGTTTTCTTTGTTTTAATCATGTTAAATCCAAATATGGTTAGCTATTAATAAACAGCTTTAATTGGTTGTCGGTTATTTTTATTTTTCGTTTTATTTTTCTCCCCCCTGTCCTAATGGTTGTTAACCAGGTCTTCTTAAATTTGTATTTTTTGTTGAATAAATTAAATATAAAATTTTATGAAGACTTTTAATTAATTTTTACGTTTTTATAAAAATATTTTAAATTAACAAAATTTTTAATTCATCAAATAAATTTGTTTTAAGTTATTCCAAATCAATTCAAAGCATTTAATTTTGTACAATGAAATTAATTAATTAAGGTTTTGATCTTTTTCTCTGTTATGAACTAAAATTAAAAATAAAATAATGCTTAAATTATTAAATATATAATTTTTGTTCGTTTAATTTGAGCATGTATTAAATAAATAAAACTAAACCTTACAACAGTTATTTTCTTCTTTTTTTAATGGTTTTTTCCTATAAAAAAATATTTTAATTAATTACAGATTTATGCTTGGAAGCTATTTTATGTAATGTTAACAAATCTTAAGTTGTAGTTAAATAGAGACACTCGAACATGTTTGGAAATTGAACAATGCATGGGTGTGCAAGCCCACTTCAGACAAGATAAATTTTAATTTAAAAGTAAATAATTACCAGGGGTGCTAAAACTATTTTTTACATGGGGGAGGGGGTGCAAAATTTAATGACTAAAACACAACTACCTTGGTTGTTACTAAGCTTGAAAAGCTATTTTTGGTGGAATTTAGTGATCATATAAAAACCGGTTATTTATAAATTTTACTCTTAATAATATATATTAGCCGAGAAGATATTAATTTAAACGTAATGCGTTAATTTTTTTTTTTTGTGTCTGTCACTACTATTTCTCAGCTCTCACTGGACTGATTTTTCTCAACGATACACCAAAAGATCACAAATCATAGTTGAAAAAATTACCCTTAAAAATAAAAAAAATTTTCCCTTGTTCCCTTATATTTTGCATTTGAAATAATCCACCAATTTTTTGAAATTAAATTATCTACAGATTTGCTACGATAGCAATATATTATCTGATGGAAAAATATAACCCTTATTGCTATTAGTACATATTAATTAATATAATAAAGTATCTTTCTAATTGATTACTGTCTATTAACGAATAATTATAACAATAAAGACCCTCGAATTGCATCCGACTTTCGATACGATAGATACATTAAGGTAAGGAAGAAGGCTCTAAACTAAAACAAATTATAATTGATGTAAGCCTTTAAAAAGTTTTTTTTTTTTGGAAGGGGAGAAGAGCGATTCCAAATTTCAGACTTAAATTTTTTTTTGTCTCTTCTTATTAGTGCCCATTATTATAACATTTAATTAGTTGTAGTTTTTTCATTTATTAATTGGTAAAAAAAAACCCAGCACGGGGGTCGCAGCACAGTGGTGACGTGGCATAGTTGGATCAAGTATTATGATATCTAACAGTGATTAAAATCACTATAATAAAAAAACGCTTCGATGCAAACTTTTAGATAGTGTTTAATTTTAAAAAATTGGTGGATTATTTCAAAAGCAACATAATCTGCTAGTTCGTTATTAATATACTGATTCAGATAAAGTATATCGAATTAAAAAGGGATTATTAAAAATTATTGTTTCTCATAAAAAAATTATGTTGATCCATACACTTTTCAATAAGTTATAGCATTATAAAGTTAAAAATTAAAAATTAAAATCGAAAATTTTCACACAAAAATAGCATTCGGTAGCCAATTTCACCCTGAAGACAAAATAAAGTATAAAATTTTTTTTTTGCATAATAAAGTACATTACATTAGCATTAATTTAAGATATATATAATAGTGTCAGACCTTCCGGAACACTTTCAAAAGTTAAGTTAAAAAAGTTCTACTTTCTATATGCATTTTTATGTTTTGAATCCTCCCTGTATTAAGGGAAATGATCCGATTTAAAAAAAACAGTATGTCAAATGAAAGATCTATATAAATACTACTTCTCATAAAAAAATTGTAATGATCCATACATTTTTCAAAAAGTTATAGCATAATAAAGTTAAAAATGGAAAATACAAAATCGAAAATTTTCACACAAAAATAGCATTCGGTAGCCAATTTCACCCTGAAGACAAAATAAAGTATAAAATTTTTTTTTTGCATAATAAAGTACATTACATTAGCATTAATTTAAGATATATATAATAGTGTCAGACCTTCCGGAACACTTTCAAAAGTTAAGTTAAAAAAGTTCTACTTTCTATATGCATTTTTATGTTTTGAATCCTCCCTGTATTAAGGGAAATGATCCGATTTAAAAAAAACAGTATGTCAAATGAAAGATCTATATAAATACTACTTCTCATAAAAAAATTGTAATGATCCATACATTTTTCAAAAAGTTATAGCATAATAANATACACTTTTCAATAAGTTATAGCATAATAAAGTTAAAAATGTAAAATACAAAATCGAGAATTTTCACATAATAATAGCATTTGGTAGCCATTTTCACCTTGAAGATAAAATAAAGTCCGAAATTTTTTTTTTCCATGATAAAGTATATTACATTAGCTTTAATTTAAGATATATATAAAAGTGTCAGACTTTCCGGAACACTTTCAAAATTTAAGTTGAAAAAGTCAATTTTTTGTGAAAAAGTTGTCATTTTGAATCCCCCCCTGTAGGCAGGTAAAAAGTCAGATTTATAAAAAAAATATACCAAATGATAGGTAAAGACATCATGCATCTACAAAAAAAAGAATTATATTGATCCATACATCTTTCAAGAAGTTATAGCATTATAAAGTTAAAAATATAAAAAAGAATTTTTTTACAAAAATCGTATTTTTTTTATTAAGTTTAATGTCTATTTTCACCATGAAGATAAAATAAAGTCCGAAATTTTTTTTTTTCATAATAAAGTATATTACATTAGCTTTAATTTAAGATATATATAAAAGTGTCAGACCTTCCGGAACACTTTTAAAAGTTAATATNGAGATATTAATAAGGAACCAGCAGATCAAGTAGCTTTTGGAATAAAACACCAATTTTTTTAAAATTAAACACTATCTAAAGATTTGCATCGAAGCGTTTATTTTTGATAGTGATTTTAATCACTGTCAGATATCATTATACTTGATCCAACTATACCACGTCACAACCGTGCCGCGACCCCCCTGTGCTGGGTTTTTTTTTTAAATTAACTATATAATGTAAAACTTCCATAAGGCTGTAAAAAAGTCACGTATTTTTAAATATTAATGACTATTTAAGCCAAGTATAATGAACAAGTTGTTCTTCACACAATGCTATTTAATCATATTGCCAGACTGACCCGTCAGTAGTTGTAATTTATAATGATTTTATATTTTATACAGAGTGATCAAAATCTGGTAAGATATTTTTTTTTCTTAGAAACTATTGAGCATTTTAAATTTTTATGAAGAAATTTGATATAACACTTTATTACAAAGAAAAAATGTTATTTTTATACAAAACACTTACATATTATTAATAAATAATGAATTTTATTAACCAAAATAATATTTATAAGGCATAATTTAGAGCAGTAGACATTATGTAAAAAATACCATGAATAATCTTTAATGGAAAATAATATTATTACTCTATTTTTATTTTGTCATAAAAGAGTTACAAAATAATTAATAAAATAATAAATGATATTTTTAACGGAGCAAAACCTAAAATTTTTGAAAATTACTAAAATAATTTGTCTGTATCATTTAATGATACAGAAAATAATCAGTATAAAATAAACCGAAAATAATAGTTATTTGTATATTTATTATACTCATTTAGAGGATATTGAACATAAGTAGAAATTTATAAAAAATAATTCGAATAAATTTTTTTCGAAAATCTAAAATAGCATATCATTTCAGTTGTTGTTATTTATGAATTAAGTAATAGATATATCCAATTTTATAAGATCTACATTATAAATCTTTGTGACCTGAGATTTTGTTTCCATTATTCGTCTAATCTTCATATATTCTACGTACTACTAATTAAAAAAATAAAACTAGTTCTATGCCTCTTTTTATTCTTTTAACAGATATACACTTTAGTTGTTTAAATGGCAACATATATATTTATGTGGCTTACATTATACAAAAGCATTGAGTTATAAAAANACATTATACAAAAGCATTTAGTTATAAAAATGACGCTTTGATAACAACATTTGGACCATTTTTTTTGGAGTAATTAATATTTCAAATTTTAAACTGGTGTACTATTATTTTATTAATAAGCAATCTACATTTTAATGTAGAATTCTACAATTTTACCCACTTATATATATATAAAAATAATTATATTTTCTTAAACAATTGTTCAAAAGTCGTATTGAGTAATTTTCATTTTCAGAGCGTTTTTCAATGTTAAATAGTATTATTATCGTTATCACTTCAATGAGAAAAGAAATCCTGAAAATGTAAATTAATATAATAGAGGATATGTATGAAGGCACTTTTACCAGGGTAATAAGTGTGGGAGGAGTAACAGAAGGTTTTAGGGTAAGAGTATAAGTGCACAAAGGTTCTGCTTTAAACCCTTACTTATTTTTTATAGCGATGGATAAAATTATTAGAGAAATACAAGAGGAAGTGTCTTAATGCATGTTTTTCACTGATGATAAAGTGTTAATAAGAGAAAATAGGGAGGAAATTAATCAAAGGCTAAAGGTGTGGAGATTAGCTCTTGAAGAAAAGGGTTTAAGAATAAGTAGGAGTAAAAGAGAGTTTATTGAGTATAGTTTGACAGAGGAGAACACGAGGTAAATGAAATTATGAGAGAAGTGACAATAAACGAAGACGTAATAGGAGAGTTTTAAGTATTTAGGATCAGTTATGCAAAAAGACGGTAGTATTGACGAGGATGTAAGTCACAGGAAGTGTTTTACACTTCACAGTGCGGGTGGTTTAATAAGGATAGAAGCGTCTGGTGCATCATGCAATAAAAGAATTCTAATGAGGCTGAAAGGTAAGTTCTATAAGACTGTAGTGAGACCAGATATGGATGTATGGTTCAGAGTGTTGGCACGGACGACAATAAAGTAGAGTATATAACGAGTGTAGCAGAGATGAGTGGAGTGACTAGAAAAGATAGGATAAGGAACGAACATATAAGAGGGAGAATGGGTGTAACGTCAATCGTGGATAAGATGAGAGAAAATATATTACTAAGATATATACTACATAAATACTTAGATGGTTTGGTCATGTTATGAGGAGAGAAGAATCAGAAGCTGTAAGAACAGTTATAGAAATGAATGTTGAAGGAAGAAGAGGTAGAAGTAGACCATGTTATTTTAAGGATATATGAGATTACAATTATAAAATTTTATTTCATTTTTACAAAAACCTGTGTTTATAGTATCATAAGTAGATTAAAATGAGCATTTAATACATTTTAAGTTTTAAATAATCCATAAAAGCTGTAACGCATTTATAACTATTAGAAAATATAAAAATTCATTAACATGTGAATTAGTGAAGTCGAAATATGATGCGTATATGGTATTATCACAATTTTATGAGCGAGGGACTAGTTAAAAAAACTGCATTAACCATATTTTAATAAATTTCAAAATATCACACTGAAACATTCTTTGAACTTTATTTATTAAACGGAAACCCCCTCCAGAAAAATGTTTGGTCCACAGCGATTCTATTGAAACGTTTACCGTATTAGGTTTTACCTTCGCGTAACTTGGACGAATAACTAAAAAAGAAAATATATCACAATTTAAATTTATATTAATTAAAATATTGTTTGGTTCAAAAAAAATGTAATTCGACCGTCGTTAATGGATACTCCAACTAGAAATTACAGTTGATTTGTAAGAGATTAATCATTAAAGTGACATTCTGTTTAAATAATACTCTCAACGCAGAAAATATATTTATAAGAGAATTATAGTGAAAATATTTTCTTTTACGAAATATTGTGCTAGTGTTTCATTCTGATTTACTGAAAATATGATGAAAATAATTCATTCCGTTCGTTCATCAGGTAAGTAACTTTACATAATTAGCTATTATATTGTTATATGACCTAAAACAACAGATTAGTACATTAAAATTTCTTTTCGTTCGACAAAACTAATAAAAGAAAATTAATCATTATGATGATATTTACTAATTAATAATATTATTTTACAGCTACACTGAAATGTTTATGGATCAATAGTAAGCCGACCATTATTAAGCTTCTTCACCGTGAGTATAATAACATTCGATAAATTAATAATAATTCAATAATAGTTTTAAATATTGTTTAATCATATATTTATATAAAACAATAATTTTATTTTTTCAGTTCTAGAATGCATTCTTTATGCTATCCAAGTTGTTACATGGTAAATAGAACAAATTACTTTAAAATTCATAACAAATTTAGATCTTTTTTTTTAGAGTAATAAATTAATATNTCTTTTTTTGTAGAGTAATAAATTAATAAATTATAAATAGGTTTGCATTAGACAACACAAATAGGCTGATTAAACATCTAGACCGCCACGTTCATTTTGATAACAATATTACCTGCATTGAATATGAAGTGGACACAGATATCGAAACAATAGAAGAGTCCAATGAACATCAAAATGCAAGAGATCAAGTATAAATTTACATGAGCATTTTTTGCATACAACTTATTTAGTATTGTCTGTTTTTGTTGTGACACGGTCACGGTGTTGTCACCTGTGTTACACTCAGTGGTGTCACGTGTTAACTTGACCGTTCCGCATACGTGTTATCGTCGTGGTGTTGAGTCCAAAAAACTGCTTCCGTCGAATACCCACCGCAATAATACGTTTATCGGTCAATTTCGTGACACACGATTTTTATGTACTGCAACGTACCACCAATTTTTTTTTTTTTNTTTTATGCACCGGTACCGCAACGTACCACCAATTTATTTTTTTTTTGAAAAATAAACGGCTCTACAACACCTCTAATACAACTTAGTATCGCCTAATTTTTATATGACCGCGCGTTCATTAACTTCTATCAACTGACTCCTCGGCTTCCATCTCGACCGAATGACACCAATAAGGTAAGAAAACACAGCTGACATTTCACATTATTTCCATTATTTTTGAATATTTTTTTTCTATAAGAGACAGCGAATTTTTCTTCGCCTTGCCCACACTACTATGAACTTTTAATTCTCTGGTGACAGCAGTGAATTTCCCACACGGTCATATAGACACTATCCATTGCGCGAAATAGTAGATTCTACTATTGATCCTTCTCTTGTTAACCGTCACCGTATGGCTGATACCTGGTGGATTCATGACTTAATTAATAACACTATTGATTGTCCTGAAATATACTATTCTATTACATGTCCATCCTGTTATCTTGCGTAATAATTGACTATTCTACACTCGTTTGCACAATCAAAAGTAAATATTAACTGGTTAACCGTATACTAATGAATTGCAATTCAGTTAGCAATAAATTAGACTTTGGTGGTGCCGCACAAACACGACCGCGTAAAATTACTACTCCCGTTGTGAAGCTGGAATTTGACAACGGCTTCGTGACGGACTTACTAGAATCATAAGTGCAGAAATTGTACACTACTCCGGCAATAGTCCACAAATTTGGAATTGTGCACAGCGGACAAACGCCCCCCCGTATGATAAACTGACGGTCACACAACAGACGCGGCCGGCACAGTTACCTTTACCGAGACCATCGCAAACCTAAAAGTAAAATTCATGGCCGTCATCTCAGATAATTCGTACTGTCATTCGTGGGACACGACTTTTCAACAGAGCAGGAGGTCTCTTGCATGTACAGTTCACCTGGACAAGATGAGGCGTACTATAGCTTATTGGAGAGCGAGTGATCGGCACGCGTTACCTGACGTCAATCTATCTCACTAGATATACCAGGCGACTCACACGNCGCGCGTTCATTAACTTCCATCAACTGACTCCCCGGCTTCCATCTCGACCGAATGACACCAATAAGGTAAGAAAACACAGCTGACATTTCACATTATTTCCAATATTTTTGAATTTTTTTTTTCTATAAGAGACAGCGAATTTTTTTTCGCCTTGCTCACACTACTATGAACTTTTAGTTCTCTGGTGACAGCAGTGAATTTCCCACCCGGTCATATAGACACTATCCATTGCGCGAAATAGTAGATTCTACTATTGATCCTTCTCTTGTTAACCGTCACCGTATGGCTGATACCTGGTGGATTCATGACTTAATTAATAACACTATTGATTGTCCTGAAATATACTATTCTATTACATGTCCATCCTGTTATCTTGCGTAATAATTGACTATTCTACACTCGTTTGCACAATCAAAAGTAAATATTAACTGGTTAACCGTATACTAATGAATTGCAATTCAGTTAGCAATAAATTAGACTTTGGTGGTGCCGCACAAACACGACCGCGTAAAATTACTACTCCCGTTGTGAAGCTGGAATTTGACAACGGCTTCGTGACGGACTTACTAGAATCATAAGTGCAGAAATTGTACACTACTCCAGCAATAGTCCACAAATTTGGAATTGTGCACAGCGGACAAACGCCCTCCCGTATGATAAACTGACGGTCACACAACAGACGCGGCCGGCACAGTTACCTTTACCGAGACCATCGTAGACCTAAAAGTAAAACTCACGGCCGTCATCTCAGATAATTCGTACTGTCATTCGTGGGACACGACTTTTCAACAGAGCAGGAGGTCTCTTGCATGTACAGTTCACCTGGACAAGATGAGGCGTACTATAGCTTATTGGAGAGCGAGTGATCGGCACGCGTTACCTGACGTCAATCTATCTCACTAGATATACCAGGCGACTCACACGCGCGCGCAATACTAACACGTACGATAAAAAATTATTCTGCGGTTTTTAACGATACGATGGGACGCACAAAGCTTATTGAACACAACATCGTTCTAAAAGACCCGTCGCCAATCGCACAAAAGCCATACCCGCTACATTAACAACAATAGGCGACATGGAATCTCTAAGAACCCAGCACCTCCCCTTGGTCAGCACCAATCGTGCTGACTGAGAAAAAAGACGGCTCCTGCCGCTTGTGTGTCGATTATCGGCGACTTAACGAGGTGACCGTATCAGACGCGTACCCTACGCCTAATTTAAATTAAATGGTCAGAAGCAAAAGAGGGGCGAAAGTTTTCACGACACTCGGGTTACTGGCAACACTCATTACAACAAAACGAATACACCGCGTTCAGAACAAAAAACATTTTAGTTTCGTGTGCGTACGTTTAATGAACGATATACTTAGGGTATCAAGTGATGACTTTGTTCAGGCTTATCTAGACGATATTTAAATGTTTTCGAAACACGCTTAGACTAACTTAGTAAAGTTCTAGAACGTTTAACGCGTCACGGCCTAACAAGTCGCGCTAAAATGTGTAAAACCGGGTTCTCTGAAGGTTATTTTTTAGGGCACCGGGTACATTGACTAGGAATAGACAAAGAACCGGACGTATTACAGTCCTTACGCGATATTCTAGTCCCAAATAATGTAAGGGATTTACTAAAATTCTTAGGACCGAAACGTACCCCATAGGGGCGCCTAAAACGTAAACGATTGTAGACGTAAAATCGGCGGGGGCAGAAATTACCCCGAAATACCACTCACGTGCTGACCCAGTGAAACGCCAAAACCAATAGCTAAAAAAAGGACTTGGCGCTCTATTAACGGAGTCGAGTCACACATCTTGGGACACAAATTTACCACCCTTGTTGTTCGCCGCACTGCGCAATAGGCGTAACGAGACGACCGGATACACGCCGTCCGTACTCGTCCTATGCGGGGACGGCAAGAAACCGGGTGACTGGCTACTTCAGCGGGTAGCGCCCGCCGCTATTAACGACGGCCGTATAGAGCGCGAACAACAAATCACCCAAAACAAACATAACACTGTTGTTTACTACAAAGCGCACCGAACGCGAACAATAAGTTTTGCGTCCGAGTTGTGTGGCCCAGTTAGACTAGCCGAACGCCTTGGTAAAGGGGTATTTTTAACGGACCAGTCCCCACCAAGGAAAATTCATGTCTCATGTATGAAAACGAAATAATAGAAAATGTTTTCTTTTTTTTCGTTTCTTTTAATTTTCTTCCTTCTCATGCGTGAAGATTTATGTATGTGATGTAATTAATTATGTCCTCTGCTCACGTAACAGTATCCATATAGACCTGTCGGATAGATATATGACTAATAAAATTTGATATTCTTTTTTGTTACTTTTCAGCATGAACAACGACACCACAACAAACACACCGGGCCCCGTGGTTACCGGCGGATCCGCTCCCACGCGTGTTACGTTCGTCGGATGATGCCGCCCGCGCTCCCTTCTCCAGGTGTTACGCAACCCCGTGGCCCACCAAAAACGGGATATTCGGGTAGGTCGCGAGGAAGTAAGGCGGAAAATGCAGAATGCGCTAAACGCTCTTCTCCGTACCTTCCCCTCTAATTCGTAAGCGCTAACTGCCGCCACCAAGATCTGCAGGGTAATGTGGCGGCACAGCATTTACCCCACCAGCCTACTCCAGGAAGGGCCACAACAAGCAATACGGGAGTATATGCTAATACTCGTCCATTAACCTCTATCAGTTGAAAAAAATAAAATTGTGTTTTATACTCAGGATGAGCAACAAAATGCCATAGCTCCGATAAATCAAGTTTTTGACGATGTTGACATTAATAATCCCAATGATTTACCTTTGATTGAATCGAATGATCAAAGTACTCTTTTTGTGCCCAATAAAAATGTGAGTATCGATTTATGTTTACAATTTAATTATTAGTGTCAATTTTTTATATTAAAGTATAACTATGTTGTATACTAAGGGTGAAAAACAAAATGTCATAGCTTCGGAAAATGAAGTTTTTGGCGTTACTGACATTAATGATGCCAGTAATTTACATATGACTGTATTGAATAATGAAAATACTCATTTTTTGGCCACTGAAAATGTGAGTGCCAATTTTTCCGAAATATTTTATTGTTAATTCATATAAAATATACATTTTTAATTATATAAATATAATCTATTTCAAATAGCTATTATATATTTTTGTGTTCAGGACAATGGTTTATATAAAAATGAGTCACAAAATGTCATAGTTTCAGTACATGACGATGCTGACACTTCTGATGCCATTGATTTACCTTTGACTTTGACGAATAGTGAAAATTCTCCTCTTGTGTCCACTGAAAATGTGAGTGTCAATTTATGTTTACAATTTCTCCGAAATATTTTATTGTTAATTCATATAAAATATACATTTTTAATTATATAAATATAATCTATTTCAAATAGCTATTATATATTTTTGTGTTCAGGACAATGGTTTATATAAAAATGAGTCACAAAATGTCATAGTTTCAGTACATGACGATGCTGACACTTCTGATGCCATTGATTTACCTTTGACTTTGACGAATAGTGAAAATTCTCCTCTTGTGTCCACTGAAAATGTGAGTGTCAATTTATGTTTACAATTTCTCCGAAATATTTTATTGTTAATTCATATAAAATATACATTTTTAATTATATAAATATAATCTATTTCAAATAGCTATTATATATTTTTGTGTTCAGGACAATGGTTTATATAAAAATGAGTCACAAAATGTCATAGTTTCAGTACATGACGATGCTGACACTTCTGATGCCATTGATTTACCTTTGACTTTGACGAATAGTGAAAATTCTCCTCTTGTGTCCACTGAAAATGTGAGTGTCAATTTATGTTTACAATTTCTCCGAAATATTTTATTGTTAATTCATATAAAATATACATTTTTAATTATATAAATATAATCTATTTCAAATAGCTATTATATATTTTTGTGTTCAGGACAATGGTTTATATAAAAATGAGTCACAAAATGTCATAGTTTCAGTACATGACGATGCTGACACTTCTGATGCCATTGATTTACCTTTGACTTTGACGAATAGTGAAAATTCTCCTCTTGTGTCCACTGAAAATGTGAGTGTCAATTTATGTTTACAATTTCTCCGAAATATTTTATTGTTAATTCATATAAAATATACATTTTTAATTATATAAATATAATCTATTTCAAATAGCTATTATATATTTTTGTGTTCAGGACAATGGTTTATATAAAAATGAGTCACAAAATGTCATAGTTTCAGTACATGACGATGCTGACACTTCTGATGCCATTGATTTACCTTTGACTTTGACGAATAGTGAAAATTCTCCTCTTGTGTCCACTGAAAATGTGAGTGTCAATTTATGTTTACAATTTCTCCGAAATATTTTATTGTTAATTCATATAAAATATACATTTTTAATTATATAAATATAATCTATTTCAAATAGCTATTATATATTTTTGTGTGTTAGGACAATGGAACAATAAAGCAATGTCAGTTAACTCAGGTAAAAAAAGATGAAAGACGGTTCATGATGAAAGATATGGCAAAGTTTCACTTGAATGTAAACTATGTATATCGTCTAAGAGTGTTGCACACTGCTAAAAACTATATCTTTTTGGCGAAAGTGAACGAAGAAAATTCGATTAGGGCACTTGAAAGACGCATTAATGTTTTTTACAGTTACTCTAAGGAAAAAACTTACACCCCCCAATTGGAGGAGCTGTGCGTTATTAAATATAGTAATAACCTTTAGTTATTAACTTAATTAACTTGTAAAAGTAATTAATAGTTAAGTATTTCAGTCGAGATTTGTAATTTTAAAGATAAACAAAATTACTCAAGTCATCAGATTCATTTAATAACTAAGCAATTAATTAGTTATATCTTTAAAATACTCAATAAATGAATTACGACTCCGAGTGAAAATATGTGAATTTAAATAAAATTTATCAACAAACTTTGCTAATTGCTTTTATCTTAATTTTAGACGACGGTAATTGGTACAGAGGCATCTGTAAGGCCATCAATGAAGATGTAGATGGAAAAATGACATTTTTTATATCACTGCTAGATTGGGGTGATTTCATTTCTGTAAATGTTAATAACATACGAAAAATACAGCCATTTTTTATTCAACACGCACCATTAGTAGTAAAATGCGTTCTTAGAGGTAACTATTTATCATGACAACATGAGGTTGTTTATTTAACATTTAAAGTGATAATTCAATGAAATGTAATTAACCTTTTATTTTTAGATTTGAAACTTTCACGTTTTTCAAAGAAAATTTTAAGGAAACTGTCTAATAAAGTCTTTAATTGCAATATATTCTCAAGATTTGGTCCGACTTATTATGAAATTAAATCAGACCAGATATCTAGCTTATTAAAAAATTAAAAATTAATTTTAGTGTCAACCAGTTGGCAATTTAACATGAACATATTTATCTTGCTAATTTATAATTTACAAGTAGCTCGTTTTTAAAGAAAATTTCTTAATCCATTATTACATGTTTAGTAATGTACAATTCATTCCAAAACTTATACAACAATTAATAAAAACTATTTATGAAATTTAATCATATATCTGTTAAATAAAGTTGAAAATATATTGATATAATTATGTTTATATAAACATATTGTTCTTCATTTAACAATTATGTTAAGAAATATCAATTATCAGTTTGCATTAATAGAACCTTTACATTTTATGAACGAAAATTACCATGAATTTTCATTGATGTGATTTATTTTACAATGTGAGTTATAAGATTAATACAAAAGATCAACTGATATTTTGTATATTATAACTATATTAAGATTTAATGACGAATATCTTTATTAATTTTACCTTCTAACTAATTAAAATATTATTAATAGTGGTATAGTTAGTTAATACTACCTTTTTATTAAATTAATTACCTCACATTAAATACACTAATTGCAATTATATTACTAAGAATTATTATTCATAGCCTGTATTGAAACTTATTAGAATAGATAATTATTTAAATTCTATTGATTGATTGAGCTTCAGTGAACTTAGTTGAGAATATGATAGGTAGTAGTAAAATAATCTTACCCTTATCTTATACAATATAAAGTTCTTAAATTAAAAAATAGTGATTTTATGTATATTTTCCAAAGACAAATTTCTGAGAATACCCTTGTTACTTTCGTATACAGGCATAGTTTTTTTATAAGAGTTAGACCCTCCAAAATTCAGAAAAATCATATTTATTTAAAGAATATAAAGATAATTTGTGATATAGTTTTAATAGTTTTTCCTAACTTATACATCGTCCTTAAATTTTTGTGGTTAATATCAAAAAAATGATGAGTGATAAATATAAGTTATTGAGATTATTTTATAAATTTTTGAAAAGGATTTTTTCAGTCGAGTCCGCCAAAGTATAACGAATCAATCACCAATAAGATTGTTTTTGCACCAAAAAAATTTCTTTGAAACTTAAATTATATAAAACTTATACATCGAGGGAGAGTTAAAATAAATTATTTTTCAGTACATGTTCGTTGGGTCAAACAAAAACATACTGTTGAGACGAATAAAATGACGACAATGCGCTTTTTGCCATTATTATTATTTGTCTATACTTAAGCAAATAATTTTTCACTTCTATTTTAAATATAATAGAAAAAAACCTATATACACGATAAAAGACAATTTATTTTGTGCGTTTGAGAAGCGATAAAGATTTCCACATTAAAATCGCCTATTTTCCCCAATTTGCAGATATATTTGAAAGTACGAGCCTTTTTTTGAATCGATAAACGAGTGCAAATGGTGATCATGAAGGCTTACATTACTAATGAATCTTGATAGCAGAACATCCTAATAAATTCCCTTCTATAAATCTATTTTGAATGTGACGATAACAAGGAATTACTCATTTGTCTTGGTGACAATTCGCCTCAAGTAACATGACCAGTTGGACTTTGATCTAATCACCTGGGAATCTCAAAACTGTCAAAAGAGTGGCAATATGAAAACGATTTGGTCTATGCAAGCAATGTACGACACCCATCTTTACCTAAGTCAAATCAGTGAAGTAGAATCGACAGCTTTTTTTCTAATCTTTTTAAATCTTTTAGTTATTTCTTCAATTTAATAATTATTTATATTATTATTTAAATTATTTATTTTTTAAAATAATATCTAAAAAAATATACAACTCTTTAAATTACTATAGTAAAAATAAAAATTTATCCATCGTATAGTTTTTAAGCATTACTTCAAAAATACTTTATACATAACATAATAGCTGTGACTTAAATATCTAATTTAATGGCCAAATTCAAAATATTTTCTTTAAGCTTTAGTGATATGTAACATATACGATAAATGCGCTTTAATTACTAATAATACAATCGAAATATAACATAACTTTCGATACATAATCGAACTATCCATCTATGGATAATGTTGGAGTTTTTAACGTCTTATTTTTTATTGTAATGTCGGAGTTAAATCCGTCGTAGCAAAGATGTTTCCCTAGGTGGTAAACTCTAAACTAGCTATTGTAACCTTAGCGTAATTTACCTTGGTATAAAGGTCGTGTATTTATTACAATTTACTTTTATCATTACCGTTTATCAATAATAATTCATACTCGACGATAAATCACAATATTTTTATCCACTTCGAATATTTTGCTTAATTTTTTATACGTAGAGTAATCGTCGCTAGAATTTACTAATTAATATAAACTATTACAGATAAATTATAAGTAATTCGTCAAACTTAATTCCATTTTCTCATATTCTGTAAATTATGATAGATAAATATTAAAAATGTAAATGATATCTTGAAGTTTATATTACAACTAAGGATTATGTTAACAGGTAAAAATGTTTTATTCATATTGCTAAGTATTTCATGTATGCAATATTTTAAAAACTATTCATCATTGTGTAGTGGATTTGGTACTATACAGGCTTTATTAAAACCGCTTTCATGATTAAAAGTAAAGAGTTCTAGTTGTCCTAAACTTCTGCATTTATATACCCCAACATTGAATGATGAAATATTGATGTCATTAGCTTTACCGAAAAGTTCATTAATGGAAAGAAATCTCCGTCCTACAAAATGCATACAATTATTTTGTTGAATAAGGTACTATTATATCCAATTAAAGACAATATCCTTAATAATTTTTAATCCACCAAATATAACCAATGTTACAATGCATAAAGTGGGTATTTATCACGAGGAAATACAAATACACTAGTACAAGCTAAACCCACTAGTGCCATATTATTTCATTACTACTATGCATTTTTCTTAATAAGTACTAATCATAAATTTGTTATCAGCCCATCAATTTTTCTTTTGTAATAAAAGGGCAAAAAAAAGGCTATTAGGTAATTTTTGAAGAAAAAAACATATTTTTGTTGGAATCAGGTAGCAATAGGAAAAAATAAAATATATATATTTTTAAAAACAAGTAATGTGCTTTTAACGTAGTTCAAAACCATAAAATGTAATATTAAAAAAAAGTACCAAAATATTTTCTGGATCAAAAGTTATTAAGGATGACAGTTTCTAGTAGGACACGAATATCCCACTCTGAATAAGCACATAAATATTAATCTCATCTAGGATAGCGTTGCCATAAATTGGGAAAATTCTGACATTTATGAAAAAATTTGAGGAGCTAAATTGATTTATTCCAAACCCTAAATTTTATTGTATTAAAATACTTATAATTTTCTTAAAACTTAGTATACCTATGTTCAAACCTTCCTGCTACAATTTTTTTATCATACTACTGTTCCCTCACCAATTACTTTAATTAACTAATAGGGTGGATCAAAAATGTAGATCATCGAAATTTAAATGAGAAACCTTTTAATTTTATTATATACATTAATATAAAAATTTTGTGAAAATTAGTTTTTAAAAAAAATGTCTACTGGTTGCTCAACATTTTTAAGTACATTGAGCCCTACTAGTAATACACTATATAATTACACTAATTATGTTATCCACGCTATCAAATTTTGAAATTAAAAAACTTTTGTTCTATGGTAAAAATTAACATTCCACCCCTATTAGCTTCAAAATTCCATTTGTTAAACAAATAATAATAAAAACAATGAAAGAGATTGATGAAATCACAGACCCCTACATAAATAATGTATGCTTTCACCAATGTATTCAAGTATAAATTTTTTTTTTTAATTCTTAGTAGGGTACACAGTTTTATTTAATTGGAAACTAAATTTCTAGGATCTCATTTTTTTCCCATAACCTAAAGCCTTATTGTTAGTGTTACCCTGTTTATTATAAATATTGTGTATAGTATGGTTAATGTTGGGGAGGGTTATAGCCTTATCAGCTACCTGTGTTATATTTATACTAATAATAATAACTATAATTTAATTAATTAATTTTTCAGATTTTGTTTATATTTTACAAAATATTACTGAGACAGAGTATAAGTCACACCTAGGTCAGTGGCTCAAACAAGCCAGCAACAGAGGAAATGAAAAAAAAAAACTTTAAAATTTGATTTATAAATTATAATTATTATTGTGGAATATTTATAATTCATTAATTTGTTAATTATTTTTTAATAAAGAAATTCAAGGACATTAATTTTGAGTGAATTTATTTGAATTCATTCTGATTGACTAATTTATGTTTATTTTAATGATCCCCGGTTCTGGGGCCACTAATAATTAATACCCATAATAGATTAAAATGAAATGGTAATGTATAATATAATGAAATTACAGGAATAGAAGTTTAAAACTGAGTCAATATTACAATGTCACTAATTAGAAGTTGTTAAATCACAAAGATTGAAATAATTACTCTCTAAAATAAACAAATTCAACTGATTTTCTTGCTCATTTTTTTTTATTAAATTGGAGTTTTTAATGTTACTATGTCTATGTAAGTTACTCAAATTTTCTAAAATTAAAAATTGTTAATCTTTCTAAAAATATATAGAATAAAAAATGATTTTTCAATAATAACTTGTATAATTCAGAAATTATTATCAATTTAAATTTATGACTGGGTACAGCTATTTTTATCACTAGAAATTCTCAGTCTCACCCCTCCTTATAGGATTAAAGTGTTAATTAGATCATCTTATAAATAAGCTAGTTAATTATATACATTTCCATATGAAAAATTAAAATTGACACCCTAATAAGGTACCCATATTAGATGATTATAGAAGATAATGATTATTATCAATACTTCATGCTTATTAAATTAAGAAAAATATGTAACGAAAATAAACCAATAAAATAATTATTAATATTTTTATTTTTCAATTAATTAAATGTTAAATAATAAATTATCAACTCTTAATACATTTTTTAATAAAACTTGTACTTATATCTCCAAATGTCTGATATTTTTTATCAAATTTTTAAATTATAATAGAGAAACCATCTCTTTTGAATAGTTCTCGAACTATTTATTTTTTTATAGCAATAAAAATGTACAAATTATTTCAATATAAAAACTCAAATATTTTGTATTCGTCATTCCCAAACGGAAATTAAACAGATTCGCATCGAAACGTTTTTATGGTAGAGATATTGATCAATGATTAGATATCATCCACTCTTATGCTAATAATGCCACGTCACCACTGTGCTAGTTTTTTTTAAATTTATTATGAATTTATTCATACAAAATTTTACTAAAAATGATAATTTTAAATGACAAATTTCCTATTACTATTATTATCACTATTGGTCCATAAAATTTATTTTGAAACTAATAAACATTTTGACCGATACATAATTTAGTTAATTTTATAAATTTATTGTTTTAATCTGTTCTATATTTGTTCCCCAATTAGTCTTTTAGAGAACAATTGTTATACATCGGAATACTCAAAAGCAACGTTAATACGTTAAAAGATATAATATATCATAATTTTGAATATTAGAAACTGAATAATTTTTTACCCAAATAAATATTACTTTAACTTGAAAAACAATCAACTTTTTAGAATAATGAAAAACCGTCACTAAGAATATTTTTGTTGTCTTAGAGTTAAGTATTTTTTATTTTTAAATAATCAATAATAGTTGATAAAAATGGTAATAGGCATAATATGGTTTTCAGTAAATAACCACTTTCAATAATTTGCACTTCAACTAGAATTACTTTTTCAATTTTTGAAAAATAGAAAACAATAATTAAAAATATATTAATGTCCTACAATTTTTTCATTTTAATTGATTTATTAAGAATATTAGCTGTTTAAATGTATCAAAAAATTAGTAAACAATAATTTTATTTTAGCATCTTTAAACTATCATAAAAGTTGAAGTGTTATTTGAACAGTTAACATCTAATCGGTAATAGCATTTAATAATTATAAAATCAAGTAAATAAACTTATTAATAATGCCTTAATTGTTTATAGTATTTATAATTAAAAACCATACAAACCATAAGTTTTAAGATTATTAGTAAATTTTTAAAACAATTATCTACTATAATTTTTTAACGTCGATCATGGACAAGTATACTATAACGTCGATTAAAAAGAATTTCTTTTTTAATGGACGTTAAAAAGTTTTCCGCCTGCAAATCAGATGTCTTGAATATAATAGATTTGAAGTTACCACGGTAATAGCTAATGTAGCAACGTCGGTATTATAAACTAACCTCACTTATAGTTACATTATTCGCGTATTCAAAATCAACACATATCATGTTCACTTTGCTCTTTTCGGTCTAGGTCTTTCACGCGTGGTTTTCTGAACTTCATTTAAATTTTATTTAGAAACATTTCTCAATTAAATTTTGAAAATGGCTGAAACTATGCAATTGCGAGGTACTCTACGTGGTCACAATGGATGGGTTACACAAATCGCTACAAATCCCATCCATACCGACATGATTTTGTCTTGTTCAAGAGGTAAATTTAGAACCACATTTTTTTTTTATAAAATAATCATTTTATAATATTTTGATTTTATCTTTAAGATATTATGTTACTTTACTGATAGAATTTAATGTTTTATAGACAAAACATTGATTGTATGGGATTTAACTCGTGATGAACTTAATTATGGTATCCCCAAAAAACGTTTATATGGTCATTCTCACTTTGTTAGCGACGTTGTTCTTTCTTCTGATGGTAATTATGCTTTGTCTGGTTCATGGGACAAAACTTTGCGATTATGGGATTTAGCTGCTGGACGCACCACTCGTCGTTTTGAAGATCATACCAAGGTTTATTTAATCTCAAGCTTTTTTTTTCTTTTTTTTTTTTATATATTTAGAAGCTTTACTACTTGGTAAGTACTTTTAAAAGTATACAGGTTGGTATATGCTTCTTAAATGCTATAGTTTAAAATATTTAATTGAAATACTTAAATATCCCATAATAATTATTTTTAGGACGTATTGAGTGTTGCTTTTTCGGCTGATAATCGTCAAATTGTCTCTGGAAGTCGTGACAAAACTATCAAGTTATGGAACACATTAGCTGAATGCAAATATACTATTCAGGTAATTAAGTATTTTTATTAAATCTAGTATTTAAAATTTTTTAATTTTTACATATAGTATGAAATATGAGTTTTTTTTTAATTTTCTGAATACTTTATAAGCCTAATAGATAAGTTTAACTATTGTCTTAGTGAAATTATATTGTTATTTTATTACTGTTTTGTTTCTTACATTTAAGAGGGAATATAGGTGTAGTGTCAATCATGGATAAGATAAGAGAAAATAGACTTAAATGGTTTGGTCATATTATAAGGTGAAAAGAATTGAAAGCTGAAAATAACTGTTTATGGAAATGAATGTTGAAAGTAGACCAAAAAAAAAAATAAAGGGATGTTATTGAATGCAATATGAGGACAATTGATGTGAGAGATAGTGCCAAATGAAAATTTAGGATAAGGGTGACTGGCACTAAGTAGTTAGTTGGGATAAAGGCGAGGAAAAAGAAGAAAATTTATCACTGTTTTGTGTTTTTATTAAGTGTTTTTTTTTTTTTACAGGATGATGGTCATAGTGATTGGGTGTCATGTGTACGTTTTTCTCCAAATATTCACAATCCTATTATTGTTAGTGCTGGCTGGGATAAAGTAGTCAAAGTATGGAACTTAACAAATTGTAGAATCAAGACCAATCATTATGGACATACTGGTTATTTAAATACAGTGACAGTTTCTCCAGATGGTTCATTATGTGCTTCAGGAGGAAAGGTAATCCCAAAATTTTAATAATTTTTATTTGTTTGCAATTTACATGTTAAACATTTCAACAATAGGACTGTAAAGCCATGTTATGGGATTTGAATGATGGAAAACATTTGCATACACTTGACCATAATGATATCATTGAAGCTTTGTGTTTCAGTCCCAACCGTTATTGGTTGTGTGCTGCATTTGGACCATCTATAAAAATTTGGGTAATATTTCTAACAACAATTTATGTTTTTTATCAAAATAATTAATCATTGAATTTATTTAAAAAATATTAAGGACTTGGAAAGCAAAGAAATGGTTGAAGAACTACGTCCAGAAGTTGTGTCTCAATCACAAAACAGTAATACTGAACCTCCAAGATGCCTTTCACTGGCATGGTCAACTGATGGACAAACATTGTTTGCTGGATATTCTGATAATAATATTAGAGTTTGGCAAGTGTCTGTTAGTGCACGTTAATGTTTTAATTTTTTTAATAAAATAATAACTGACAATTGCTAAGCTTTATTTTTTAATACCCTATTTTTGTACCAAAAACATTAAAATTAAATGTTACTAAATCAAATTTATTGTAAAGTTGTGTGTAGCTCAGAAACACAAAATCTTAAATTTTATATGAAGGAGTCTTATTAAGATGATAATGTCAAAATCAACTTTGAGTCAAGTAGCTCATTGCACTATATTGCCCTTGTAAATTTTAATTAAAAACAAGGTAGTTATGATTAAATACATGAAGTATAAATAGATTATCAGATAATAAGTATCTTTTCAAATAATTTTTTGATGTTAAGTAGAAATTTGCAATTTAGTCCAAATTATTAAAAATATCACTTTAACATACTATTTTGAGAAAATATTTTACAGTTTTCGAAATTTTTTAAGTTTTTTTTACCAGACCACAGGAAGGGATTCAAAGTGGCAACTTTTTCAAGTTAACTTTCAAAAATGTTCCGAAAAGACTGACACATTAAATTAAAACTTATATAATATATTTTAATTTGATCTCTGGATTTGTCTTCATGGTGAAAATGACTTCCCTATTCAAAAATGTGCTATTTTTGTGTTAAAATTCTGGGTTTTGTATTTTATTTTATTTTAAAATACCTGACAAGGGGAGTACACAGATTTTCATAAATATTATATAAATAAAATTGATATAGCATAGAAAGTCAAACTTATTTAAATTTTTTTGCTTTTATGAAGTCTAGAAAAATAACTTTGAAATTTGATATAGCTTAAATAGTTTTTTTTTTGAACTAACGTTAGCGACGTACGGTTGCCAAGTCAGTAACACTTGTGTCGAACGCTCTTAGGGTACAAGGTTTCAACCCGTGTATGACAAGGATTTTTTTCTTAATTCTTATTAAGTTAGAATAAATTTTCAATTACTTTTATTTATACATTTTTCCAAAAATTATAGCAATATAAATATAAAATCGAGAATTTTTTCATGGAAATCGTACGTTTTTCTTTAATTTTGATGTCCGTTTTCACCACGAAAACAAGTCCAGAGGTTAGGTTTTTTTTTTCAAAATAAAGTAAATTACATAAGTTTTAATTTAATGTATATATTAAAGTGTCAGCCCTTCCCGAACATTTTGTAAAGTTAACTTGAAAAAGTTGTCATTTTGGATCCCTTCCTATGGGCTGGTAAAAAAATTTTCGAAAACTAGCGATTTTTAAATTTTTATTTTTTTTGGGGGATTTCCCCTGTTTACGAGGAACGAGGGACTTTTTTCAATTTTTGAGGGTAATGTCTTCGACTAGATACGATTTGTGATCTTTTGACGTATCATTGAAAGAAATCCGTTTGTAGAGAGCTGAGATTGAGCGTTCACAGACACAAAATAAAAAAAAACACATAGTAAAATTAATACCTTGTCTGCTTCGTATCGAAGCTAAAACATAGCGTTAACTTTAATATCATATCCAAATTATTTTTATATGCATTTGAAAATACCGCAATTTGACAAAATTTAGCAAAGATGTACAGAAACAACTTTACTGTTTGGAAAAACTTGGGAAGTTTAAATTAAAAATTTTCAATTTAATTTGATCACAATAGTTCATATACGCAACACAATCAATTATAAATTCCTAGAAATAAAAATACTTGGTTTAAACTGTACAAATTGCAATGGAATTTAACAAACTTCAACCCTCCAATTTGTAGTTACACAATATGTCTATTTTTAACATTTTATTACATTGTAAATTGAATATATACTCTGCATTTACATAATTTTCATTAAATTAATTATCTTTATAAACATAATAATATTTTAATTATATAATAATACTTCAATTCAAACATAAACAATAGGCCGATTATTAAATTCTTGTAATTCTCTATCATTTTTATTTATTAATACACCACTATCATGAGAACGCAAATTTCGGAATTTGGCCAACTAAAAATAACAAAATTATTAATAAATGAATTTGTATACCAAAAAATAAGTTTATTGTTTATGCACGAAAAATTATTTAAAATTACTTGTTTTCTCGATATTTTAAATGGTATTGTGAATGCAATCCACGTGACACTTTCAGCGTAAGGCTCCGTAGTTAATGAACCAGGATATGCAAAATAGTCGATCTGATCAGCTGTCTTTTTTAACCAAAAGAATTCTTCTCCTATTAATCTTATTACGCTAGAGCCGGGCTCAATAAGAGATTGAAGATCGTTGATAAAATTTGTCATTTCTTCGTCGTCTTCTTCTGATATCTACATAAAGACAGTCAGTAGTTACAAAAACATGCAATGTTAACTATCAATTGATTGTTCATCATTTATATTTAATCTTTCCTCTAAAAATCATCCCCAGTTAAAAAAAATGTATTAAATAACCTCGAGAATTAAAATTAATTATTATCAAAATTTATCATGAATACACTTGGGTAATTGTGATCCATTTAACATTAAGTCAAAAATAAAAAACAGTAGCACAGTGTGGACGAGGCATAGATGGGACAAGTATAGATGATATCTGACAGTGATTAAAATCACTATCATAAGAAACGCTTCGATGCAAATCTGTAGATAGTGTTTCATTTANTAAAAAAAACCAAATGATAGATAAAGACATGCATCTAAATAAAAAAAAATATACTGATTTGGTCATTTTTGATAAAGTTATAACAATTAACAAAGTTATAAGTTTTATACACTGGACTACAAGGAACTTCCATCAGAAACAAAAATATACTATTCTAAATCAACTTTTCGCGATGTTTTTAAATGTGCAATTAGACTTTTTCTATCACTTCTAAGTTTTAATATTATTAAAAAATAGTATTTACATATAAAAAAAAATAATTAAGAACAAAAAAAATTGTTTTAAATTAATACTGATTTTGATTATTAATAAGTTAAAAATAAGGAAAATGGCATATTTAACCTATTTTTTTAATCGTTTAAAGTTGATTGTTGTAAATGTTTATAACAAAAAAAAAAAAATTATTTTACCATAACTTTTAGCTCAATTGTTAAGTTTATTTTATGACAATTAAATAAATTGTATTGTTAAGATCAATTTGCAGTCAGAAAGTTTTATAATTACTATTTATTGTAAATTTATCAGAAAAGCTCAATATTTTTTTGCATTTTTATGGTAATAGATAACTTAAATAGGAGTAATAGTGTTAATTTCCTAGTAACTTTTGTTGCTTGAAAAGATTCTACAATTAAAATATTGAGAACTTAATTAATTTTAATGATTTACTTTAACATTAAATCAAAACAAAGTTGTTAAAAAGATCTACTCAATTGCGTACTAAAAAATTTGATTATAATTGTAAAAATCCATTATTAATTCAGGAGAAACTAGCAATCATTTTTTTTAGAAATGATTTATATAGCAACATGTTACCAAAAAATTGTTACAAAAAAACCTCGTACCCCAAGCGTATAAAACATAAGTTTTACCAACTCGGCAACCGTACGTCGATGCCGTCGGATGAAAAAATAGGCTATTTAAGCTAGTTCAAATTTCAAACTTATTTTTCTCGACTTAAAAGAAGCAAACAAATTTAAATAAGTTTAACTTTCTATGATATATTAATTTTAATTTATATAATATTTATGAAAATCTATACTCCCCTTGTCAGGTATTTTAAAATAAAATGAAATACAAAACCCAGAATTTTAACACAAAAATAGCAAATTTTTGAATACGGTAGTCATTTTTACCATGAAGACAAAT